TATATACCTTGTGTTTTCTAATCCTGCTAAATGCAAATACAAGTTCTAGGGGCTCCTAGAGATTTCTTAGTATTTTCTCTGTAGATGATCATTGCATCTACATATAAAGAGTTTACTTTGCCAATCCTATCCTAATTGTGTCATTTTATTGCCAGACTATTTTGATTTGGGCCTATATTTCAAAGTTTAATAGGCAGGTGAAGAGTAGGCATATCTGCCCTTGTTCCCCACCTTATGGAGAAAGATTGTATTTTCTCCATTCATATAAGGCATTTTTGCTGGAAGTATGGAGTACATGGCTTATCTGTTGAAAAGGTTCTGTTCTACTTCTAGTCTCCTGATAGGTTTTAGCATGAACAGCTGTAGGATTTAGTCCAATACTTTTTCTCCAACTAGTGACAGGATCATATGGCTTTTTCCTTTCCTCTGTTAAAATGATAACTTTTGGGGGTGGATCTTCCAATGCTGAACCAACATGGCCATCCCTATAATAAAACCACTTTCTACATACTGCCAGATCTGACTAATAGTTTTTGTAAATAAATTTTTGTCTATGTGTGTACTTTTTTCTTCTATTATCTTTATCCAGTTTTAGGATTAGCACAATGTTGATTTCCTAAAATGAGTGGAGCAGTGTTCCTTTTTTCTGCTTTAAATGTTTGATATAATTTATTAGTTAAAATGTATATGAGCCTGTTGCTGTCATATAGGTAGGTTTCCAAGAAATATACTTTCTTTAATAGGAGCTATTCAAATTTTATATTTCCTCCAGAGTCAGTTTCATTAGTTTGTCTTCCAAGGTACTTCTTAGAGGTTGTCAAATTTTATTTCAAAAAAGATTTTTGTAATATGCTTTATATATCCTTTTAAATTCTGTAAAATCTGTGGTAATGTCTTCTAGATCTTGATATTGTAATTTGAAAAATGTAAAATTGATACTGTGTAATAGGAAGAAAAGGTCTAAAGGAGTAGGGGAAGTAGGAGGCATAAGGGAAAGGAAAGAAGGGAAAAGAAAAAATATGAGAAAAGGAAAAAAATGGAAACAAAGCCTTTGCAAATAGGGAAGGGTGGAGGGGGTGAAGGGAGGGCAGGGAAATGAGAAAAAAATAAGAACCAAGATA